TGGGCCTGTTGGGGGTGGGGGCTGGGGGAGGGACAGCATTAGGAGAAATACCTAATGTAGATCATGGGTTGATGGGTGCAGCAAACCACCAGGGCACATATATACCTATGTAACAAACCTGCACGTTCTTGCACATGTATCCCGGAACTTAAAATATAATAATAAATAACAAATAATGATCTCTTTACTCTGGACTTTCAGGAAGCAAATACAATGGATGAAAAAATCGCTTTTTAAAAAATATCATAAAGACTAGTTTTCAAGTTTTATGGTCATTTAAATTTAAGTTTCTAAAAGTGCTTTGACAATCATAGGTGTCCATGTAAAAATTTATTAATGTTATACTAAATATCAGTTTACAATTTTAGAAGAGCTATATATTTTAGAAAACATCCCATATAAGACATAAAAATTTATAATGTAAAAAAAGAAAAAAGAAAGTCACTGCCATATTTATGGTGTAAAATAAACTTTCCTTCTAGAAGTAAAGAAATTATTTTGCTACCTGATTGGTAGCTGGGTAATGATTGGTTAAACATGTTTGTGCTTGGTAACTTTTTACTTTGTTTAGCGGACTGAATGGTGACAATACTGTACTCAATTCGAAAATTTACCTGTTGAAATCAGGCCAAGCGCTAGGCCTCGGCGATCATCAAAATACTGGCACGTAATGGTCACTGTTGCAGTGTATAATAAACCACATCCAAGACCTAAGCATGAGAAGACATTGCATAAATTAAGACACTGCATTACAACAATGCAAGAGAAAAAAGGAAAAACAAGTATGTCCAATAGGACATTCCATTATTCGCTGGCTAAAACTGTTACAGACTCCTAGATTCCTTCCATGTGTGTAGCCCCAATAGACACCATTGGGCAGCCTCATTTTTCACCCCACACCCTAGATCAGGGTCAAGTAAAAAAGCATCCAATGTCTAAAGCATGAATGAATAATGCCAATGTAAATTAAGACATTATGGAGAGAGAGAGAGAAAATGGCTAAATTCACATACAAAACAGCAAATTTGATCAAGTTTGCCCCTTAGAGATCTATGCCTCTTCCAAGTCCTTGCCCCCAGCTCAGTGTTCTTCTTCTTCTAAGTCCTCTAAACAACTTTTTAAAATACACTTGATCACTCAAAGCTATTTTGTTAGAGTTTAGCCTGCACAACCCAGTCTGCAATATGAAGGCCCTGTGGGGTTCTTATATCATCTCACCACAGTGAAATTTATATCTGTAAGTCTTCATCTTTTAGAGGTGCATATTACCTTATTTAGAAGTAAAATGTAGTAATGTCTTTCCTTTAAAATACTTTCACCAAAAAAAAGAAGCACATACAACAAAATACTAACAACTATGGTTGTTTGCTATACTATTCTCCACTTTTCTGTAAATTTGAAATTATTTTATAATTAACAACAAAAAAAGTTACAACTAAATTTCTGTTCCTGAATCACAAGGGTAATATTTATCTCCAGATAATCTCCAAGGCTCTTGTTTGTTAGCTTAATATTTTCTTCCCTTTTAAGAATCTGACAACCCCATTTTGTTTTTCATATAACTCTCCTTTGGCCCTCACTCATTTACTTTATGCCTTTCTTCCACAACATTATCTGTTCTTGAGGATCACTCTAAAACAACACAAGAGCCATAGTCTAACATCTAACAACTGAATTTTAACTATGGCCTATTACGTGAATTATTAAGGTCATTTTCATTACTTAAAATAGCTACCTGGACCATAATTTAAATGAATACGAGTTTAACAAATACACTGCATAAACATTTTAGGAAATCAGCACTTAACCCACGACTCAGATGATCATCCATGATTGCATACAGAGTCTTATTAATGAAATGAGAAAGATTAAAACAATTAGACTTTAAATAACCCTTTAAAAATAGAGTGCCCTTTGATGCCATTTATGGGGAAAAAATACTTTCAAAATCTAAGGCATGAGTTGGATTAATTTATATAGTTGTCATTACTACACAGAGGACACTTCAGAACATGAAATAAGAACTGTTTCTAACCAATCAATTTTGTGAAGCCAAAAACTGTCACCCTTAACTTAACTAAGACTATTTCTGCAAGCCTTTGGAGGGGGCTTTATTATAAATAATGCAAATTTACATTTGCATTATTCATTCATGTTTTCTGTGATCTCGTTGTCAGAGCTGTGTCAAAGGTCAAGCATTGAAGACATGAAAAAAAAGACATTTCAGATTACTAAGTGTCAATGCCAAAAAAGTTGACTTTTTTGTCAACTTTTAAACTTTTGTCAACTTTTAAACAGCAACTTTTAAACTTTAAATCTTATACTAAAATGAATTTTTAAAAATGATTTGAAGGTCTTAGGGTTCAGATAAGATTACTTCACTTTTTTTTAATGTACCAGAAATCTGAAATGCATTTACTTTAAATTTGTCAGAAAGCAAAAGTTGAGGCCAGGCACGGTGGCTCATGCCTGCAATTCCTGCAGTTTGGGAGGCTGAGGTGGGAGGATCACTTGAGGTCAGGAGTTTGAGACAAGCCTGGCCAACATGGCAAAACCCCATCTCTACTAAAAATACAAAAAAATTAGCCAGGCACCCAATGGCACACACCTATAGTCTCAACTACTCAGGAGGCTGAGGCAAGAGAATCATTTGAACCCTGGAGGTAGAGGTTGCAGCAAGCTGAGATCGTGCCATTGCACTCCAGCCTAGGCAACAGAGTGAGACTCTGTCTCAAAAAAAAAAAAGAAGAAGAAAGAAAAGGTGGCATGATTTCCTCTCTTAATCTGCATCAGGACAACCTTAAACCAGCAGCTGTTAAAGAGAAGTCTGTGTACCTACAGTCCCTAAGATCTTTCATGAAGTTAGTCAAGTCAAAACTATTTTTATAATAATACTGAGATGTTCTCTGCTCTTTTCGCTATGTTCACCTTTATGCTGATGGTGCAAAAGAGATGGTGAGTAAAACTGCAAAAAGCCTATCACAAACTAAGGTATTCCTAAGGAACTTGACACTTTATAGGCTTCACCACCTCACCCTCACAGTCAAAACAAACACATTTGCTTTCAATGCTTCACCTGAATTACAATAATTGCTGCGAGGATAAGCACTAAGCGATTGTTTTATAGCTAGCTAAAATAACCACTTTTAAAATAGAACATCGTTTTATTTGAAACAATGTCTGACAGACAAACTACGGTTATTTAACCTTGGGTGTCTGGCCGATATTTTCTTGGAAATGAACCAATGCTGGGAAACAACTGGCAGTAATTGTTACCAATGATAAAATTCATGTTTTCCAGCAAAAAAACCAAAAACCAAAAACAAAAACAAAAAAACAGAATTTTGGAAAACTTGTATCTGTCACCATGCATTTGACAGCTTCCCAATTCATAAGGATTTCTGATGAGCTTTTTGGTAATATTAACCAAAGTGATGTTTTACAATGAAATGTGTTAACATTTTTAAGTTCTTGCATAACTCAGCAAATCAATATTTTTCAAATAGCCAATGCATGAAGCTACAAACTTAGGTTTGAGTAAAGATCTATTCAAAGCACAGAATAAACAAATGGATTTCCTATAACAGAGTATGAAAAGTATACTGATACGGTATCAGGTTCATCACTGCAATTAATCCTTAGGAAACTATCACTTACCAAGTTTCGGTAGAGGAATATCTATAATTACCTATAAAGGCTATTCAACACTCTTGCCTTTTCTAATTACATCTTTGTGTGTGAGACCAGATTTTCTTCATATATACTTCAATCAAGAAGCATATTGTAACATATTGAGTACAGAAGTAGATAGGAGAATATAGCTGCCTTCTATGAAACCAGACATTAAAGAGATTTGCCAACATGTAAGACAATGGCACTCTTTTCACCAAATTTTGTTTGTTTGGAAAACAGTTATTTTTCATAATAAATATGATATTTATGTTAACATGAACTAGATTTATCTTGAAATGAATAGCTAAATAAAGATTTGTAAATGTCTTATCTCTTAATACAGTACATTTTAATAGACTAAATCTAAGTATAATATTCATAATCAAAAGTTTCTTGGTATCTTAAATAAAAGAATATAAAGGGCCCCAAGATTAAACAGTTTGAAAACCACTGCCTTAAAGCATTCCTTGGCCTCCAACCAGTTTGGATCAGACCCCTACCAGTGAAAAAATTCTGTGTACCAACCTCCAGTAAAAGTATAACAATTTTAAAATTAAATACTTGTACTACTGACAATTCACAGCATCAGTACTAGTAAGGCATAGTTGTTTCCCTTTCTTTAAATGGTAAAAACTAAATATATTTACATGTTGCAACATTTCTTTTCCACACTTTACCTTCCATTTCACACACTGGAGACACTTCAGAGGCCTCTTTCCCCTCATATCCTCTCATCAAACCAGACATCAAGCTCTTTATCACACCCACGGCCTAAATTGTCAACCTCAGTCTCTCTCTGCACTAACACTGCCTCAGTTCATCTCCTCATCTTTTTTTTTTTTTTTTTTTGTCTCATCTAAGGCCTCCTAATAGCTGTCTCAGCCTTCAGTACCTTTCCCACCAATCTGTCTTCTAAACTGTTGTCATACAGTTCTCATCATGTCATACTACTGCAATAAAGACCACATAAAACGGTTAGCATCTGGCCTCTGTTACACACCATGCTTTGACATATTTACAACTCTTCACACCATCTGTGCATTCCTTAACAAACGTATATAAAAAGACTGCTGTTTAGCCATTCTATCTTGCTTCTCTGAGTACTTAGGCTACCGAAAGGTCCTCCTCACACCATCCCCACTCCCCTTCCAACCGTATTCACTTGAACCACTTCCTGCCTGTTCTTCAAGACTCAGTTCAAGCATAAATTAAGCATGAAGCCTCCACCGTGTCTCCCCTGCACACGCACATACATTGGCTTCATCATTGCACTTATTGTGCCGTGCTATAAGTTACATATTTTCAAGTCTATTCCTCCAACTAGACAATTGGTTGTGTGGCTTTGGCAAAGTCATTTAAACTCGAATTCCTAGTTTCTTTATCTGTAAAACAATCTTGTAAGATAGTTGTAAAAATTAAGAGACATAAAAAAATGTAAAGATGTAGTTTCTGCCCCTACACTATCATGAGTACTAAAAAATGTCCATTATATTGGTATACTTTTTTCATTTTCACCTGAGTATTATGGCATTATGTAGATACTGCCTCAGACTACATTAAAAAATCACAGTACCTTATTATACCTGTATATCCATGACACTTAAAGATTATCTTCAATTATACAACAATTTTGAAAGAGGGGGCTTGTAAATCTCTATTTCTGCTAAAGCGAATATACAGGAAATGCCCTTTATCTCATTTGGCAGAATTACAGTAAGAGAATCAGACTGTCTACAAACATGTTTCTTTTCCCTCCCCACTCTCAGTGGACTACGCAGATATTACCAAAAAAGGGCAGTGGCAGGAGGCGGCGGGGGGGAAGAAAATGGAATTCTTCCAAAAATCAGGAAGGGAATAATAAGAAAACCATAATCAGGTAGCTAAATAACAATATATTCTAAAGAAAAGAGAATACAAGGAATTTATTTTGAGTTGTGCTTTTCAGAAAAGCAATGAGAAATTATTAGAAAGAGGCTTGAGCAAATCATTACAGGCACATTTCCTGCACCACCACCTCCTACCCACCTAATTTTCATCTCCCACTGTATTGCTTTTTCCCCGGTTTAGTAATTTTATTGAGAAAACAGGAGCCTCAATTACCAGATTTGGCCATGTGGCTTACAATCACTTGCCAATCCATAAAGATTTCTAATGAACTTGTTGGTAATACTAACCAAAGTGATGTTACAATGAAATGTGTTAACATTTTTAAGTTCTTGCATAACTCAGCAAACCAATGTTTTTCAAATAGACAACGCATGATGCTACAAAATCAGGTTTGAATGAAGATCTATTTAAAGTACAGAATAAACAGAGGCCGGGTACAGTGGCTCACGCCTGTAATCCCAGCACTTTGGGAGCCCAACACTGCGGATCACCCGAGGTCAGGAGCTTAAGACCAGGCTGGCCAACATGGCAAAACCCATCTCTACTAAAAATACAAAAATGAGTCAGGCGTGGTGGCATGCTCCTGTAATCCCAGCTTCCTCGGGAGGCTGAGGCAGGAGAATCGCTTGAACCCCTGAGGCGGAGGTTGCAGTGAGACTCCATCTCAAAAAAACAACAAAAACAAAGTACAGAATAAACACATGAATTTACTGTAACAGAGTACAAAAGCTATACTGATATGGTATCAGGTTCCTCACTGCAATTAATCCTGCAATCTGACAAGTTGGTACAGGTTTTCATTTGAGCTACAAAAACCTAAACAAAAGAGCATCATGTTTTCAAATTGTTAGTTTTGAAAAAATCAATTAAATGGTAAAACAGAATTATATCATTTAATACACTTTAGTATTCTTTTGACATTTTAGGTTGTAATATCCAAAATAACTTTAATTTCTTTTTCTATATTTTTAAATCTCTTACACAAATATTTCTGATTCAATAGAGCTTCTTCAGTAGCCAAAAACTACTGCTGTATGGGTCAGAAAGGAATTTAAGGAGAAAGGAACAAATATGTATTAAACATCCGTTTGCCTCTTTATAAACATTATCTCATGAATAGTCACAATACCTCCATGAACTCATATCAGTGCCATTTTATAAAAAATAAAAATGGAAGCTCAGAGAGGCTGAATAATTTTTCAGGGTCATAAAACAAATGATAATGGTTTATGCTAGCTAACATTCATTGCATTATGTCACTCATCTTCACAAACTCTTATAAGATGGGTGCTATTATTATGCTCAGTTTAAAAATGAGAAAACAGTAGTTACAAAACATGTTTACAGTCACACAGCTGGCAAGTGGATAAAAGAAGGTTAACCTACATGGTCCAACCCCAGAGCCTGCCTGCTAGTCAGTGTCTGATCTTTCCCTTGATCACACTGTCTAGCTTAAGAGGCCATCTAGCTCATTAAAGACAAATGAAAGTCTTTAGGATATGATTCTGCACAGAATTGCATCTTATAAATGTTACCATGAGATTGAACCCTTCTTATTTTTCTAAAGAGCTCGTGATACAGGAATAAGATGTTAGACTGTGTAATAATTTCCTGTCACTTTCTTTTGAATTTGATACTCTACTTCAAATGGTAACAGAATGAAAGTGCCAGTGTTCATTATTATCTCATTTATTTATCCCACAAACATTCCATGAGCCCTATACTATGAGCCTACTGATGAAATAAAACTGTGAAGAAATCAACGATGGTGGTAAATATTAATAATTTGCCAGCAAGCAGTAACTCACAGGTCCCCAATAATTACCGTGGTGAGAGATATTTTTATTAATTGAAGTCTAACTCAACTCTTTATTGTTTTCTTGCTTGTCATCATTTAGTCCTCACAAGACCCATCTGAGGTAGGTTTCGTGGGCTGCTTTCACAGATGCAGGAGGGTACAGCCATTCACGGAGATGAAGGAGCTTGCTCAAACTCACAGAACCTGTGTCTGCCGACCTGAAGTCCAGTGCTCCCTCCATGAGCTGACAGTTTCCTCTTAGTCACTGAGAATCAGAACCTATTGCCAAATCAGAGTTATATACATCCTCGGACTTGAGCCTGTTTTCTGACCCAGAATCCACTAACTGAAGGAAAGGCCAGGACTCTAGGAGGAGGGACATTGCCACAAACATCATGACAAGTTTGTATATATGGAATGATAACCTGAGTCTTTCCCCAAAGAGAACTATGGCCATCTATTTAAGTAACTGTACACTGAGGAAAGTGAAATACATTTTGAACATTGTTGTCAGAGACATGAAGAGTCTGCATGGCTTCCCCTTAAAGTGGGCTTACATGGGGCAGGTAATATATGGGATTATGCCCCAACTGCTCAGCCAATGGTCCTTTCCCCAGTCCCTGATATTTAATTATAGCACATATATGCAACAGCTGGTAGAACTCCCTACACTGTTCTTTGGTCCCTTAGCCAAAGCAATAAGAGTTATCATTCCCTACAACGCCATCATAGTGAGGAAAGCCAAGTGAAAGCCCCGTAACTCCACCATCAGCAGCAGCAGTCAAAAGTGTAAGCCAAATCCCATATAAATGGACGGACTACTGAGTGTCCGACTGAGTGTCTCTAAGTATCAGACCAAGTCTTCTAGCTTTGTTAATTTAGTTAGTAATATTTTCACTTCTCTGAGCTTCACTTTCCTTCTCTGTAAAATGGGTTCTTGTGAAGAGGAAATGAGATCATATAAAGCATTTAGCACAGTCCCTAGCATACGATAAGTACTCAGAGAATATTAGTTGCTACGTTTTCTATTATTTATTATTGGGGAAATATTTCCAGGCAGAAAAGAGGAATATTGGTAGTCAACAAAATTAGCTCCTTTCAGGCATTAAGAAGAAACTTGAAAGCTGGAGGCCATCTTTTTCTAAGTCTCTACCAACAGCTTCTAGAAATACCAAGTCTGGTGATTTTTAACACTGAACAGAATTAGTGTAATGACATGACAAGGATTTGTGAACACAAACAGCTCCAAAGAATCATGCTTGACTGCCCAATAGGAAAAGCTCCACTTCATAATTTAGTGAGAAGTGACAGATGTCCATAACATCCAAGTTTTGTGTTCCCCTCTCACTTTTCCTGTATGTGCTATAGAGAGACAAGGGCTGAGATGAAAAACTTCCCTGTGCCTTGCAAGGAGATAGAGTATGGATTGCTTGTTCTCTCAAACATTTTGATTCACTGGGCAGGTTTTTTTTTTACTAAAGCAACAATTTTTGGAGAAGTGGTTATTGAAAGTAAATTATTAGTGAGCATTTTCACTCCTTTACATTAACTGGATCATAAACCTGGCACTGGTGAATCGATGTGTATCTCTTGAAGGTTAGGAAAGTCATAGTGACGAGGTTCCTTACCTACAACAATGCCATAGGAAAAAAACAGAAAGTAGATATTGGGAGCAAAACTGCTCAACATCAGGCCTCCAGCCACCATGAAGCCACTGAAGATTGTGACGGGTCTTGCTCCAAAAGATGAGACACAGAGACTGCAGACAGGACCTAAAAAAAGAAGTGAAACCTTCACTTATTATCATATGATCCATCCGTCATAAGTTCAAAATGATTCTTTCCATCATAAAACAACAAAAATAAACATGCACTGAGTATTTATGCTATGCAGACACTATATGAGGCAGCTCACGTGAACAATCTCATCTCATTTTAATCTTACTGCAGCCCTGGGAGGTGGATACTATTGTTAGTCTCATTCTTTTTGATAATGAAATTAAAGGATAAGATCACACAGGTTGGGCCGGGCACGGTGGCTCATGCCTGTAATCCCAGCACTTTGGGAGGCCGAGGTCTGAGGATCACCTGAGGTCAGGAGTTCAAGACCAGCCTGACCAACATGGTGAAACTCCATCTCTACTAAAAATACAAAAATTGGGCGGGCGCAGTGGCTCAAGCCTGTAATCCCAGCACTTTGGGAGGCCGAGACGGGCAGATCACGAGGTCAGGAGATCGAGACCATCCTGGCTAACCTGGTGAAACCCCGTCTCTACTAAAAAAAATAAAAAAATTAGCCGGGCGTGGTGGCGTGCACCTGTAGTCCCAGCTACTCGGGAGGCTGAGGCGGAGAATCACTTGAACCCGGGAGGTGGAGATTGCAGTGAGCTGAGATCATACCACTGCACTGCAGACTGGGCAAGAAGAACGAAACTCCATCTCAAAAAAAAGGAAAAGGAATTAAAAAAAAAAAAAAAAAAAAGATCACACAGGTAAAATGGAGGTTCCGGAGTCAGATTTTATTCAAATTCTAGCCCTACTACTTGGTAGCTGTTTGGTCGTGGGCAACTTGTTTGATCATTCTGTGCCTTAGTTTCCTCATCTGAAAATGGGAATTATAATAGTACCCATCTGATAGTGTTATTGTGCCCTGTTGACTGACAGGCAAAAGTGACCATCACCTGGAATTGTTCTATCATAAGTGGGCAACTGCTCATGTAAAAGAATTTAAGTGATAGTGAAATTCTTCCCTACTAGGACTGTACTCAGAAGTATAGAACTTAATATACTAGAAATAAAAGGATGTTAAGGGTTATTTAGCCCAACAGTCTCATTGAACGTAGAAGGAAACTGAAGCTCAAAGAAGCTGTTCAAGTCTATGGTAGAAGAAAGACCAAGGATTTGGAAGCAAAGAGAAGTCTATCTGAATTGAGCTGACAACCTTTCAAGCTATGATCTCCAGTTTTCAAAAACCACACCTACCAGAATGGCTAAAGAGAGACAATACTGTTAGCAAGAAAGTGGTAGGAACAGGATTCTCACACACTGCTGGCAGTGTTTGTTAAAGCTGAACACAGCACGCTGTAAAACCCAGAAGTTTCTGGCCGGGCGCGGTGGCTCAAGCCTGTAATCCCAGCACTTTGGGAGGCCGAGACGGGCGGATCACGAGGTCAGGAGATGGAGACCATCCTGGCTAACACGGTGAAACCCCGTCTCTATTAAAAAATACAAAAAACTAGCCGGGCGAGGTGGCGGCGCCTGTAGTCCCAGCTACTCGGGAGGCTGAGGCAGGAGAATGGCGGGAACCCGGGAGGCGGAGCTTGCAGTGAGCTGAGATCCGGCCACTGCACTCCAGCCCGGGCGGCAGAGCGAGACTCCGTCTCAAAAAAAAAAAAAAAAAAAAAAAAAAAAAACCCAGAAGTTTCAATTCTATGTATACACCCAACAGAAACACCCACGTAAACACCTAAAGTTATGTACATAATTATATGGCAGTGAAAATGATCTACAACTACACATGTTAAGGGTGTATCACACAAACACAATGTAAATGAAAGACACCCAACGTAAGTACAACCCATATAATTTCAATTATAAAAACTACAGAAACAAGCAAAACTAATCTGTGTTAGAAGTCAGGATACTGGCTATCTTTATTAGGGGCTGGGGAGTCATAATCAGAAGAGAGCAAAGGCAAACTTGCAGGGTACTGCTCATATAATCATGAATGTCATGATTATATGAGTGTGTTCAGTTCATGAACATTCATCAAGCTATACTGTCATGACACATACACTTTTCTGTATGTATGTGTCTTTTACCCCTTTTTGAAGCAACCTCAGAGAAACAATGGAATCCATCACAGTCTCACTATTTGTAAATGACAGAAGCAGGTTCCAATAACCCATGTACTATACTACGTTCTTACATTCTTCTCAATTCCAGAGAATTTCTTAAACACATACTTAAGACCAGTTTATGGCCCCTGAAATATACTGAGATCACAGCTTCTGGTGCTTAAGGCTCTCCCACATTCCCTCCTGGCCATAAATTGGATCCTTCCATTTTCAGGCCCTCTTGTGTAAGTCGGTGCAGAAAAGGAGACTGACACATTTACATGACAAACAGAGGGAAATATTCTGTGCCAGTATTTTAAAAGGAAAATCCATTTGAAAGACCAAACTTGTCATCCAATAGTTGGGCTGTCTGTACACCCAATGAGAAATACTTAGATAATTCAAAAATAGAAACGTTTTAAGGGTCTAATTTTACAAATGGATGTCTGAGAGCATAAGGCATGACACTTCTCTGTTGTTAGCAAACTACATTGACATTGAGTTTCAGTGTTCGCAAATTTTACAACACAGTGGAATTGAAACACACAGAGACTGTTCCTGGAATACTCGAAAAGTTTCAAGTTTCATCCCCAAAACAGGACTTTAACTCTATGCTCCTTAATGCATGTTAATTCCACGAGGAAGCCTCAGAGGCTGGGAGTGTAGGGGTAAGATGGAGGAGTCATAATTTTCATAGCGCATACAACCAAAGCCACTGTTGTATGAAATATACAGCATTGTTATAAACTATGTGATAAATTCTGAAGTCACTTTTCTTGCCTAACAAATGATTTTTTTGAAAAACATTTAAGCATTAGGAAAAAATGAACAGAAATTCTCTTACAGGTGAAAACAGCAAATGGAAACAGGTTTTAAAGTTCTCTACTTTCACACTGCCATCTGCTGCTGATTTAGAGAAATATATCATTAGGTCAGAGATCAAAGACAAAAAATTTTAGAACTGAAATTTTGGAAGTTGCAAATGGTCTAAACACCTCAATTTAAAAATGGTGAAACTGGAACTCAGAAAGATCATGTGATTTGACCAAGAGTCCACAGCTAGCCAATGACAGGTCTAAGGCCAAAGTCAGACCAGCATTCTCCCTGATTGAGAAACAGTTCAATTGGGATCTTAATTTTTTCCTAGAAATCAAATTATTAGTAAAGAACATCAGTGTACTGTTAGAATAGGTAGGTAGGCAGACATGAGCAGGGCAGGAGAGCCCTTGCCTCACCCAGGAATTTCCGGTAACCATCAGGTGATGGTCAGGTGTTTATTATGCTGTTTTTCTGAAATGATAATTGGCCACAGCCAACACCAGGGGAAAACCGTCTCCCAGTACATAGAAAACACCTGGAGCTGGTGATCAGCCGCTTCCCAGTAAGATCTCAGGAGTTGGGCACATGGACTCGGGCATGCTCTCTAAGAGGCAAAATGGATGTACAACCTTCCTCTGGGGTGACTTGCCTGCTAAAGGAAAATTGTCCCTATGGAGCACGAGCACAACCTCAGTAAACACACTATGCACGTGGTCACCCTCCCAAATGACCAACACTGCACATGCAGCAGTTGAGCAACAGCCAACCACGAGGAAAGAATCAAGAGAGAAGGAAAATCCCCAGAACCATGCCAACTTGTAAAACCCCAAGTCAAGGACTACATGGGGCACTTGAATCTCTCAAGTTGCCCATGTGGCCCTCTTACAAGTGTAAATACTTCCTTTCACTCCTGCTCTAAAATTTTTTAATAAACTCTCACTCCTGCTCTAAAACTTGCCTTGGTCTCTTTCTCTGCTTTAAACCCACTTCTGTCCCCTGGCTGAATTCTTTCCTCCGAGGAAGCAAGGATCAAGTTTGCAGCAGACCTGTATGGATTCACCACTGGTAATGGTACTTTGGTTAATGTCTTATAGATAACATAGCTTTATGAACTTATGTTAGATGAAAACATAAAATTTATAATCACTTGGTGTTCAATAGTTTAGAGCAAATTATTTTACCCTTATCCTTAGAACCTGGGTGTATTTATAGATCCTATTTACATAGATTTAAAATACAATAGCCTCATATTCCAGCAATAACAAGACAAAATGTATCAAAGTGACCATCAAGTCACATCTGCAAAATGTGACACATTTATATGTTTAGCTTTGTAGTAACTGTGCAAGGCCTCAAGATGATAAACCATCTATTATTCCTCAGCACTGGATGAGTTTCAAGACACAGATTAAATGAAAGGGCTACTTGCAGGAGATTTCTTACAATGCAAAGTGAAAACTTTGCAGAAGGGAACTTTGGAACAAAAGTTAGTTTACCTATGATATGAACCGGTGATTCCACACCTTAGAACCTGAACAATTTTAGGGGAAAAAAGGGGGAAAAGGGGAAGGGGATTCCTAATTTTTTATTTTCACAAGATACTTTAAAAATGGAATAACCGGCCAGGCATGGTGGCTCAAGCCTGTAATCCCAGCACTTTGCGAGACCAAGCCAGGTGGATTACCTGAGGTCAGGAGTTCAAGACCAGGTTGGCCAATATGGCGAAACCCTGCCTCTACTAAAAGTACAAAAATTAGCCAGGTGTGGTGACACATGCCTGTAATCCCAACTACTCAGTAGGCTGAGGCAGGAGAATTGCATGAACCAGGAAGGTGGAGGTTGCAGTGAGCTGGGATCACGCCACTGCACTCCAGCCTGGGCAACAAGCAAAATTCTGTCTCAAAAAAAAAAAAAAGTAATAGCCATCTATTATTACTACTGCTTAATTAGAGAAGAAGAAATGTTTAAATAAGCAAATAGTGAGAAGGATGTAATTTCAGAATAAAAGGCAAGGCAGTAAAAAGGTAATGGGAACTTCACACACACACACACACACACACACACTCTCATACATTTCATCTATCATTGCCTTTATATTTATTTTGCCTTCGGTGAAAG